CAGGGCGAATTCTTACGAATATTGTGTACGAAGATTAGCATACAATCATAAGATGATATTCATTTGCATAAGTATTTCACTATATATGCATATTCGATATTCTTTGTATATGTTAAAATGCCTTGCTTATTTAGTCATTAATTATGTTGTGTGATGAAGTTTGAAAAACATTTTCTTAATTTATCAGTACAAGCTGATTTTTACATTTAGAAATCTTCACATGCATATACATGCATCGACTCTATACAGTGCAACGACTCTAGAAGGTGATTTTTATACTTCACAACAACAGGTGTCAAGTGCTGAGTGGCAGCTTAAAAGGTTGTCCCGTACTTCACTTCAGTGTTGTTATATTTTGCTTGATTTTCGGGATCAGTGACTAGCACTATCAAGTGTTGAGAATTGAGTTCCGCTCAAGCCGGTGCTAGGGGCGCGAGGGATGTTGCACTTATTCATTATCCCTCATGTACAGACTCAATCAAACCAATTCTGTATTTTTCATGTAATTTTGTTGTGATTAATGCTTCCGAGGGATCACTTTGTTTCCAGATTTTTTTTTACAGTAGGGTCTTTAAACCCCTCATATTTCCGACCCTTTTAACATAACAGATGCGACTTTCAAGTCAACAACTGCACAAAAGGCAAAAACCCGAGGATTCGACAAGGCAAATTCACAATAAAGTCACTTTGTCATCTTTTCGTGTTATTACCTGGTGCCCTGCAGATCAAATTATGACAAATGAGCATCAGAAATGTGTCGTCACGCCATGGATGCCCCTGCATGCAGCCAAAATTTTAAATGTTATAATATTTAGTTCCAAAAAAATGTTTGCACAATCTATTTCTTTTCAAAGCCCTTAAACTATTCAATGTTAACATAAACCATTTTTATACAAAGTTCAAGGCACTGAAACTATTCAGTGTTAACCTGTAAATTGCTAGTCAAGATAATGACTTCATACATTTCAACAAAATCATGAGTGCTGAATTTGAAAATTTCCTAACATTCAAGAGAGATATCTTTGTCCAAAATCATTCAAACACGACCAAATTCAAACCTGAACTGTTTTTTCCCTAAGATGTATCTTTATGTCAAATTTGAGTTGGAAGTGTACAACCATTGGGGAGATAATAAATGGAAACTAAATATTTCTGATTTTTTTCAAAATTCAAGAGGGATAACTCTGTCAGTTATCATCAAACCATGACCACATGCGAACTTGACCAGTGCATTCTTATGGCATATCCATGTTAAATTTGAGTTCAATATGTACAACTGTTGGGGTGATAATGAACGGAATCTGAAAATTTCTTATTTTTTCAAAGTTCAAGAGGGATGACTTTGTCAAAAATCATCAAACCATGACCAAATTCAAACTTGACCTACATATTCCTATAACATATACATATGTTAAATTTGAGTCGAATATGTAAAACCGTTGGGTAAACAATAATCAAAATGTGTAAAACTGTTGGGAAGAAAATGAACAGACAATGAAAATTTCTTATTTTTTTCCAAATTAAGGGGCATAACTCTGTTTAAATTTTTCGAACCATGACAAAATTCAAACTTGAGCTACACATATCTATGGCATATACACATCTTAAATTTGAGTCGAATGTGTACAATCGTTGGGTAGACAATGCATGGATACTAAAAATTTCTTCTTTTTGTTCAAAGTGAAACAAACCATGACTTAATTTAAACTTGACATGTATCCACTTGACGTATCGATATGTCAACTTTGATTTGAATGTGATATACCGTTGGGGAGATAATGAACGGAAACTGAAAATATTTTATTATTTTCAAAGTAAAAGGAGACTGTGCCAAAAATCATCAAACCATGACCAAATTCGAGTTTGACGTGCGCATTCCTTTTGAAGTATCCATATGTCAAATTTGAGTTGAATGTGTAATACCGTTGGGGAGATAATGAACGGAAACTGAAAATCTTTTATTATTTTCAAAGTGAAAGGGGCATAAATATGCCAAAAATCATTGAACCATGACCAAATTCGAATTTGACGTGCGCATTCCTTGGATATATACATATGTCAAATTTGAGTTGAATGTGTAATACTGATGGGGAGATAATGAACGGAAACTAAAAATTTCTTATTATTTTCAAATTGAAAGGAGCATATATATGCCAAAAATCATCGAACCATAACCAAATACGAAATTGACGTGCGCATTCCTTTGACGTATCCATTTGTCAAATTTTGAGTTGAATGTGCAATACCGTTGGGGAGATAATGAACGGAAACTAAAAATTTCACCCACTCTGTCAAAAATCATCGGACCGTGAGCGCATTCAAATTTGACCTGTATTTTCTTATGATATATCCATATGTCAAATTTGAGTTGAACAAGTGCAATCGTTAATAATAAGAAAATGAATGGAAACTAATGATGACGGAATGACGGAACAGGGTAACACTATATGCCCTTTTAATATTCCATTTTATGGCGGGGCCATAATAAAAAAAGGTTCAGAAACTACGAAAGACAGGTGGGGACAACTAACTGAACTCCCGATTTTATCTGCATGAATTCCCGATTTCAACTTCACGAATTCACGACTTCAACTTCACGAATTCAACTTCGTGAAGCCACGATTTTAACTTCGTGAACTCACGATTTCAGCTTCATTAATTCACGATTTCAACTTCACGAATTCACGATTTTAACTTCATGAAGTTGAAATCGTGGATTCGTGAAGTTGAAATGGTGAATTCATTTAGTTGAAATCGTGATTTCGTGAAGTTGCAATCGTGAATTCATGAAGTTGAAATTGTGAATTCATGAAGTTGAAATTGTGAATTCATGAAGTTGAAATAGTGAATGCGTGACTTCTGTCTGTTGAAAATGACCCAACTGTCTTTTGTAAGAAACCGAGTCAAATGTTGATTTATCTATGGAGGTTTTTCGGCCTAAGGCCGTCTGTTTTCGGTTAGAATTCCTGTTAAATTTACACGGAAGAACTGAATATATGTAAAATTTCATTGGTCATTTAAACATTACAACCTGAAATCTTGGAATCTGTTGGGCCATTGTTAAGATAGATAAATAACATAAAGGATTTTTCCTGACATGGTATATGCGTCTAATATTTAATTGATCTAAAGGAAATCTGGAAACGAACTATCTACATTCATACATAAGCTCTTTCACTTTCAAGTTAAATTTGAGATTTAACCATGCCTTCTACTACACATTATAAGCACGGGGAGGAACTGCTACACGAAGGATGGAGTTCTTATAACTTGTTCAGGAGTTCTTGGTGCTAGATTAAACTTTAATGATTAAGCTTGTCTATCATCTTGTATTATGTGTCAAGAACTAATTCAAGTATTGACCTGTTTATTTCTGGTCTTCAATCTTGCCATACATAATTACCTAATCATAATGCAAATTGCAAACATAAAGCACCGGCTAACAGTTTTATATCCGATTTTTCAAATGTTCTGGAGTTCATGTGATAACTCTAAGGATGTCACAGAGTTCTTATGATATATTTTGTTATTGCCAGTGTGTTTCTTGCTTTTATCACAAGAACTCCTGAACAAGTTATCATAAGAACTCCATCCTTCGTGTAACAGTTCCTCCTCCGTGATAAGTTTTATATCACATTGCATCTTCTTACAGATTATTTAACGTTGCTTTAATGAATTATAAATTTTGTCAAACATTTACGACATCACCACCTACAACTACGTCCACGATCCCGTTTACTCATGCGCATGGCAATGGCGAAAAGCACACAAGTAAACGAAATTATCCGGTATTATCAGTTATTTATGTGAAATGGATACAAAGTTGATAATTTTCATGTATTTTACATAAACATGAAGTATTTATATAACTGCTTATGATTAAATGGTTTGTTTATCAAAGTATATTTAGATTGGAAAGCTTACTTTTACTTTCTGTTCTTTTTTCTAGGTTTCTTTTGTTATTTCCACACTGCGGATGATAACGTGACCAAACTCGTACAATGGGCTTATGAAATGGCGGCTTAAAAGCTCGGTAAAAGCAGTGGAATTGAGGTAATTAATTAATTAATATATCTAAATGAAAAAATGACGACATAGGGCAGGCAATGAAATCGTTCGGCCATTGTACTCATTAAATTTGGTTCGATCATTGTACTCGTTTTTAAAAAGATGCAAAACTTAGGTATTCATCTTTACAAAGGATGGAAATTGTTCATGACTGGTAAACTTGCAATTGTGCAAAAGATGTCATTGCTAATTTTGCTCAAAATGCGGTTCTTTTCCTGAAAACAACGCATTTTAGTGCCTGTTCGCCCATTTTATCAGCTCAGTGTACGATTTTGGTCACGTGATCATCCGCAGTGTTTTCAAAGGTGTTCAAATCTGCTGTTGATTCGGGTATTTCGTATTAACAATACGTTGTCATTTTAAAAAGAACTTTCTATTGAAATTTCGATTTGATTAAACTTCAAAAGCATAAATGTTTTTCTTTGTAATAAAACGGTTTTTTTTTAATAATTGAAATAAAAGAAATACATGACGGTAAAAATGAACTGAGACGAAAAAAGGAGTATGAAATAAATTGTTTTGTTTGCAGTTCTTATTTACTTATTCTTTACTTTTAAAAGATTTACTTCAGACCAGTTTTCACTGTATTTGCTATATTCAGTACACTGGGTGTATGCATTTTTCATTACTATAGAAGTCAATTGTTTGTATATATTAATAAAAATGTGAACTTTGGAAATATTGTCTTCCATGAGCAACTGTGATTTTTGAGAAAATATACGTAACGTCAAATCATGACTTTTTGTTGAAATTAGTATGCTTTTCATATCTGGCATGTATTAAGAGAAACATAAAATCAAATCAAGGTCAAATTAGTAACAAATGAGGTGAAAATGTATTTTTCTCATATATGTTGCTATGCATATTTTTTTTACTCATACATCTACGATTATATCCGGTGTACGATTCTATAGCTTGATGAAGTATTTTACCTGAACGTTTTGAAGCAAGACTAAAATCGACTCGTCACAACGGTTCAAAAACATGCTAAGAGCCTCCAGGTTTTTTTTCTGCAATTTTGCTTCCTCTGAAAAAGAAAAAAAACATGTAAATTGATATCTTATGTCATAAAAAAAGTTAAAAAAAAGAAATAAAATTATTTTTTGCATGCACTAGAGTTGTATAACCTTTATGTTAGCATTAAGTTCAATAGATATAAAAATAAACTGGCATAATTTCATCCATGTTGAGTGACAGGTGAAGTCAAAATAAATTAAAAATTTTCCATAATTCCTTTCAATTATATGCTTTATTACGCATGGACGATGGATAACATAGCCTGAAAAAAAAATCAATCTGAAATTACCTGTAACGTTCGTTTTATGAAAATATGTTTTCTAATATCGTTATGAAAGATCTATATTTAATCCTAAACAGTTTCAAAAAGCATCTGTTAGTCGTACAAATTATGACAGTCAATCTATCTGGAACAAGAGCCATGTCAACATGGCCATCCCCCGCCGAATGTGTTTGCTCATTGGAAGAATGTATATGTAGTAGAGCGGAATAATTCCATTTTAAGAGGTCTTTTGGTAATGAAAACTGATGGCTATAGTGATTACAGATTTGAAACCTATGTGAATACTGATGGCTGAAAATAACAAAGGGCAATTACTGAAAAATAATGCAGGGTAGGTTATCATTCTTGTGTGCTGCATCTCTCCTCAGTAAAATCTATCCACCTGTGAAGTTTCAAGTTGATACCTCAAATACTTTTTGAGAAAAAAATTGAATTGAAAAATTAAGTATGAAAAAGAACAAAGGGCAATAACTCAAAAATTATAAAAGGTAGAGTTATCATTCTTGTGCAGTGCACACCTCCTGAGTGAGATCTATGCACCTATGAAGTTTCATTTTGATAGCTCAAAGGCTTTTTGAGTTATGCTCTGGACAAAAATTAATTTTGAAAAATAACAAAGGGCAATAACTCAAAAATAATGCAGGGTAGAGTTATCATTCTTAAGCACTGCACTCCTCCTCAATGAGATCCATCCACCTATGAAGTTTCAAGTTGATACCTCAAATACTTTTTGAGATAAGCTCTGGACAAAATAGCATGAAAAAAAACAAAGGGCAATAACTCAAAAATTGTATAGGGAAGAGTTATCATTCTTGCGCACAACAGTCCTCCTCAATAAGATCTATCCACCTATGACTTTTCATGTTGATATCTCAAACACTTTTTGAGTTATGCTCCACTCAGGTGAAAAATTAGGTATGAAAAATAACAAAGGGCAATAACTCAAAAATTATGAAAGGTAGAGTTATCATTCTTGTGCACTGCACACCTCCTGAGTGAGATCTATGCACCTATGAAGTTTCATGTTAATATCTCATAGGCTTTTGGAGTTATGCTCTGGACAAAAATCAATTTTGAAAAATAACAAAGGGCAATAACTCAAAAATCGTGCAAGGTAGAGTTATCATTCTTGTGCACTGCACTCCTCCTCAATGAGGTCTATCCACCTATGAAGTTTCAAGTTGATAACTCAAATACTTTTAGAGATATGCTCCGGACAAAAATGTCGGACGGAAGGACGGACGGACGGAAGGACGGACGGAAGGACGGAAGGTCGGACGGACGGAGACTATTTCTATATCCTCCGCCGAAATTTTTCGGCGGGGGATAAAAAAGTGATTCCTCGGAAGCATAGAAACAGCAAGATTTATGAAAATTGTAGACTCGGTTTTATTGAGACTGTACATGAGGAATAATGAAAACGTGCAACATCCCTAACGCCCCATAGCACCGGCTTGAGCTGTAATCAATTCTCAACATTCAAAGGTGATGGGTTTAATGATCCCGAAGGACAAGAAAATATAGCAACACTGGAGTGAAGTACGGGGCAACTTTTTAAGGCTGCCACACAGCACTTAATACCTGTTGTTGTGATGTATTTAAATATCTGGAAACAAAGTGATACCTCCGAAGCTTTTATTTGTTTGTTTTTGGTTTTACGTCACATCGACACAGTGTAGGTCATATCGCGACGTTCAAGCTTTACTGGTGGAGGAAGACCTCAGATGCCCTTCCGTGCATTATTTCAGACACGAACGGGCACCTGAGTAGAACCACTGACGTTCCGTAAGCTAGCTGGATAGCTTCCTCACATGAAAGAATCCAAAGTCGGGATTCGAACCACAGCGGTGAGGGGCAAGTGGTTTGAAGTCAACGACCTTAACCACTCTGCCACGGACGCCCCATTAAAACAGCAAGATAACAAGTCAATTTAGTTGAAGCTGAACAAAATGAGCATAGGTTCTCTCTAAGGAAAGGGTCTTTAATAATTATAGTAACATTATGCTCATTATTTTCGCTGTCAATGTTAAATAGTGTAAAATACAGAATCCCTACAGTATGGTGGCTGATTTGTGCCATTCCTGTTTTTGCCCCGCGACCCCGCCAAGCTAAAAGCAAAAAAATAACGTTAAAATAGAGGGGGCGTGCAGTGAAAGCATGCTTATTAGCGAGGGCGTAGGACGAAGTTAAATAAATAAAACCTCGCCCCGCGAGGGCGCGGAGCAAGATTTAAGAAATAAAACGGCGGGGTCGCGGCACGAAAATACGCTAATAAGCGCCCCGCTAATAAGTGTGTTTTCGCTCCTCGCCCTCGCCATTTTAACTTGTTTATTATCGACTCTTCGCTTGATGGGGTCGCGGGACGAAAACACGCTAATCAGCGAGGGCGAGCGAAAAAGTTTTATTTATTAAACTCCGCCCCACGCCCTCGCTAATTAGCGTGTTTTCATTGCGCGCCCCCCCCCCATTTTAACATGTTAATTATTGCACGGTGTAAAGGGTATACGCATCATTTTTCCGCGTACCGCCGATAATTTATCATCCTGCGTGCAGCACCGTATCATTTTAGACAAAATAAACACTAAAACACAACATGCATGATGGAAAACGACCTGAAAATCACACTTTTGAAGTAACTGTAGTAATAAAAGTGTGTCTACGGAATATTATGACCATTGAAGCTTATGTCTTTACCTAGTTTTTATCAGACTTGTACGATGTCTTAAATTTGTTTTAATGAAAACAGCTAGAGCTGGCTTGGGGAAAAAGACCATTTGAAAAACTTTTAAAAGGAGAAAATTATGTTGTTAATCAAAATATTTATTTGATATAACTGTAAGCATCAGATATATGTATACAAAATATATTGCACACAAATAAGCTGTTTAATTTCTTAAAAAAATCATAAAAGCGTGACAACTGACCGAGTTCTTGGTACCGTATCATGGGTCCCCACCGAAAATTGTGGCACCGTATACATTAGTGCTAGACTTGCACCGCATCATGATGATTAACCTAATGGTGAATAATTTTATTTGTATTTATTTATTGTTGCCCATCTGGGTGAAGATGTAGATGTATATTAATTATTTACAAACCGGAGGAAAATGCATAAATACTAGTCAGTTCTAGAAGCAAACCTGGATCTTTGTGCGTCCGGCGTAAACACATGGGACCACGGTCATATTCGAAAGAATCTGAGTCTTTACTTTATTATTAAGATCGGTTCGATTAGGACAACCTGAGTGCAAATTGCTGACTTTATTATGCATGTAAAGAAGCAAGTTTATAGTGAAATGTTATACATATTTAACACAAATATGCATATATAATTGTTACCATTTTATACATACTCTTTGAGATATTGCTTACGAAGAGAATTTCTAAAAAAAATTCAAGCTTCCTATTCAATCCGTGCAATTTAATATTTGTCAATTATCATGTAAATGTTCATAAATAAAATATTGTTATAACTGAAGAATTTGAGTAAATACATTTGAAGAGTAAGGATTCGAAGCCGAGACTTCTAGACTGAAACGGCGGACTTGGAATTCTGGCATCGCTTGTCGAGGCGCCATGTTTCCTTGAACAAGAACCTTTAAATTGTCATCAATTAACAGAATGTCAAATTTACTAAAATGGATTATGTCAGTCAACATTGAAATCGTCTCTAGCTTGTTTTTGCGTCAATGTTATATGTTACGTTTTGGACCCCAAATTCAGTAGTTTCCTTATTCACATGCTTACCTTAACGCAATGTTCAGCCGTTTATGGCAGTTGATTGTTAAGTGTGTGGGCCGGTGGGTGCAGTAAATGTCACGTTAATGTTGTTTTTTTATAGAATGTCAGACGATTTAAAAAAAAAACTAAGTGCTGTACCATCTTCCAACGAACAACTGTTAGTTTCGTCAATGCTAAAATCAACAGTTACTTTGGTCCTGGAAATGACCATCCAATTTCTGGATACACTGGATATTCTCATGAGATGCGCACTACTTTCAATCGGTTTCTATAATGTTCTGTTTGAGGCAGTTATAATATCGTCAGTTAAGATTGACTAAATCTCTTGTTTAAGTTCAACTATTCGACAAAATGTTGAATGGCGCGAAAAGTATTGTGTGAGAATGTAAAATCTTGCTACTTTATCTATAAAAATACAAAAAGGCGGACAAAACTTTTAGAAAAAATCGAGCATGTCAAGAGCAGTCCTTTAATTGTCCCAAGAAGTATCGACTATTCGCTTGGCAGGGTTGTGGGACGAAAACAAGCTAACGAGCGGTGGCGCGCGGTGAAGTTACGTTATAAGCGGGGGCGCGCGGCGAAGTTTTATTCATTATGCTAACCGATTATAAAAGTTATTTTTAAAGATAATTTTCATCGTAGTCCCATTTCATGTAATTTCGTTTATGCTAAAATTCACCTTTAAATAAATTTTTCTCAATATTAACTTGAATATCAAAATATGTTCTCCCCACTTTTAGCCTCAAATGCAGACGACTTTCTCAAAAATATATGACGCATATCAGACTGTAGTGAATGACATAAAAAATTGGGAGACGATATTTGGTGATCGCTGAAATGGATGAATTGAAGTAAGTTCTATATTTCTGATAACGTTTAAAATGCAAGTTATTTTTCTTTTCACTTTAAACTTTGAACTTTGCTTTGCTCAAATCGGGCCTGATTATGACCGAATTGTGAGCGAAAATAAAAGTGAGGTACAACATGAGGAATATCTTTAAAGACCATGAAACACAATCTTTTCATTGTTTTATTGCTCAAATTAAGATTTATCAATATTGTAAGTTCCAATAAGCATTATTTATAATTATATATTACCCAATTTAACATTTAATGTAAATAAGGGAGTTAATAAGAAATTTATTTTCTAAATTCTAAGTCAAATTTTCCAATAAGAAATGAATGCATGTAATTTGCAGTAAACATTTTACATATTCTTCGATGTTTGAAAATTGTTTTATTTGCACAATTATATACATATATAATTTTTTGCAAGTGTGATATACACACAGGCTCAAAATTCATATCTTTGGCTAATACTCCGTGGAAATAAGATGGAGGTAAATTATCACCACATTAACTCTTTAAGGGCATGACTGGTGACATGTCCAGGGTCCGTACTCGACAGCGAAAGCTGCATTTTGTGCCCGAAAGGGCGGATGAACCCTCATTAAGCATTAACTACATGCATACACATACAGTAACAATATCAATCATAAAACATACAGGATCTTTAAAAATAAGCATCTTCATTGTGTTTGAATTATATTTTGATGATTTTCACTGTGAAATTATCAATTCTCACATGCCCCGTGATTCAGCATCTAAAACATGAAAAAAGCCGGTGATTAACTGTCAAGAAACACTTGTTAGGGACTATATTTATGCGCCTTTTCTTTTTTCGTCTTTTTTATACACGTTCACTCTCAGATAACAGAGATAAACAAAAACTGTTAAGGCAACACAAATAACGCTTGATATATTTTCTTTTCATATTATATTCAATGAACATATCTCAAACACTAACGCTACAGATTTACACTAACACAATTTATATCAATAAAAATTACGACTTAATGTCGACATTCGAAGATTTTTTTATTTCATAATGGCGTTAGTCTTTTTAAACTGACATAGGTGGGAGAGAAACATGAAAGATTATTCGAGCACCGATATAAATGTAACTCCTTTGAAATTTATCCGTATTAAAAGGGTTAATAAAAGTCAAGGATTTTGTAGGTTCTGTATCTCTATTATTTTCGTTGGCACAGCATGTATCTTAGACAAGACTTGAAGTTCAATACAATCAATCATCTAATTCAGTATACCAGTAATCAGTAACCTCTTAATCACACTCTGAAAATACACAATTAACACATTCTAAATATATATTACATTTAACATTCTTGAATTGCATAAAGCAATCAATCATAATAATTCCAGTGGCTTTTAATAAACATCGAACATTTTATCATACAATATCATAAAACACTTATACATTTACAACAATATATCACACTTACCAGTTTAGGGAACTAATTGTTTACTTCAACACAACAAATACAATATACAATCTTCTCCCTCCAGTGTGCTGTTATTACCCTGCAAATTATAGTGAATAATTAGCAAAGAGTTTGAAAAGAATGTGAGATTATTTATTTACTAATTAGTTGAGAAAAGAAAGATATCATACTGCAATATTAAACCAATCCTTAGAGTCCAAAATAACACACAGACACCATTTACATTACTGATTCTTATTAAATTCACTTTAAAAACAACATTAAGATAAACAATACTTTATGCTCTGGAAATCATCAAAAGCAGTTTAAACTTTACATACCTTATAAATAATAATGATATTCCATAAATCACAAAATTTAAAAAAAACATGAGGACAATGTAAATGTCTACACAATAGTCGCATGATCAAAACTGGCGGGACCCATAGAAAAACACTGGTCCAAGGGAAACAACTCTCTTAATGACAAATAATAAAGAATGACAGATTGTGTCCTTGTTACATAAACACAATACAATCCAGTCTGACAAGTTAGTTTAAATTGGAAAGATATCGATTTAAAATTCTTAAATAATAAGGCGAAAAAATGTTTTCTTTTAATATCTATCCCGAACAATGCGAATTAACAGTTGTATACAATTTATGCAGCGGCGGGAGAAATACCCGTTTGACGAAAAACAGCGTTAGTGGTCACCATTCATGTTATAATCGATTTGATATTGGTCTGCGCCGTGTGCATCGGGCATTTAACACCAGTAAGTGGTTTTGATGCAAACAAAGAAACCACTGAGGCGCCAGGTCTTAGTTTTGGTACGGTCCTTTCAAATATGCATATAAGAGACATTTGTTAAATAAGCGCATATTTGAACTTCTTGGTATGCAAAAGATTTAAAATAGTGAAAAATGATGGTGCATAATTCCCCGTCTGGATTTTATTTTCAGATTGTACATTGTTTTATAAGGAAGAAATAATGAAGCATTTGATACTTATGTTTAAAGTTGATATATTTTTCATATTATTCAATAAGGTATAATTCGCTATTTTTTTATCAATTGTCGCTACAAAAACAATGAATGGAAAACACAGGCCTATGTGAAAGAAAATTAGAATTTGTACATGCATTATTAAGTGTTTGCTGTGAGATATACATGGATATGGTAATTGTGAATTGCCTTTCTTTCAGGTACGTAATTACAGACTTACTTGAGTGTAATGCTTTGATAGTAACTTGGTCAGCCCCCCCCCCCCTATAAGCCTTGAAAACAGCGTACAACTCATTAAAATTCCAAACCGGTGTTAAATGGCCGATTTACACCGCTCAGACCAATTTTTTTTTCTTAAAGACAATTTTTCGCAGAACTCAAAAGTAATAAATTAAGTAGTGTAATACACTTTGACCTGACATCATTTCCGTTAAAAATAGTGGATGTTCAAGTTTCTTTTTTTCTAAAACTACGTATATTTTCATCGAATTATATCAAAATAAATCGATGGCCACTAGTGAAAAATGATAATTTTCATACCAAAAGATAAAAATAAATCCCGTATTTATAGAAAAAAATTGCATTTTCTATAAACACATATTTTGTTATTTTTAACCTTATGATATGAAGTAATTGTACTCTCTGTACATTCCAGACGTAAGCTCTGAATGGCGTGTAATAGCGAGAAGTATGTGTTTAAAATGAATAAAAACAAGTATTGGAAACAAGAGCTATCAACCAGTGACGAATGCCCCGAGAATGCAGGTATTATGAAAAGACAAAAGAATGAAAGTAACTAATGCTTAATATTGTTCTTTGTATTATTGTACCTGAAATCTCTAATTGTAATAGCGCGAACCTTCAAAATATAAGTGTGACCTTGACCTTTGAAGAAGGGACGTGGTTTTTGGACGCGACAAAATGTTGTTATGAGATAGACATTTGTGATAAGTTATTTCAAAATCCGTTAATGCATGACAAAGTTACAGTCCGGACATGAATGTGTATCTTCAAACTCTTCTCGAGAGACATGGGTCTTAGTCGCGACATATCGTCTAGATGTAATAAAGATGTATGCCTAGTTAATTTAAAATCCTTTGATGCATGGCAAGTTACAGCCCGGACACGATTGTGTGTACCTAATTATTCTAATTGTGATAATGTGAAACTTCAAAATGTCAGTGTGACCTTGACCTTTGAGGTAGGGACATTATTTTTGGACGCGACACATCGTCTTGATGTGGTAGATATTTATGCCTAGTTATTTCAAAATCATTTGATACATGACAAAGTTTCAGTCCGGACACGAATGTGTGTACCTATTTACTATAATTGCGATAATGTGAAACTTCAAAATGATAGTCCGACCTTGACCTTTGAGGTAGGGACGTGATTCTTGGACGCGACACATCGTATTGATGTGGTAGACATCCGTGCTAAGTTATCAAAATACCTCAATGTTGACAAAGTCCGGACACGGATGAAGTGGGGACGGACAGACGGACGGACGGATGTGCCAACATTTGGGGTTTATGTGCTTTTTATTTGATCTTTATGTGGCATTTTCCCCCTTAAACCAGTAAAATTTCCACATAAATCAATCGGTTTATGGTTTAACTAAAATTATGGACGGAATGAAGCTCATAGACCATTGGATGTTCGCCCGGACAGACAGACAGACGATGCAATTTTTATATGCCTCCCATTTGGGGGGGATAAAAATAAATGATTAATTATCTTTGTAAAAATCGTCAAAAATACATGCAAATACACAAGTTAACGCGGAAATATCTCTAGCTTGTATGACAGGTGCCACTACGTTTGTTTTCAGTTCATACTTAGATTTTCATTCTAAGCAATTTATTTTTTGTAAATTTTTTATGATACAGTCCGACCCCGGTTATTCGACAACCCTTTATTCGAATACCCGGCATTATCCGAAGTAGATCGGCGGTCCCGTTTTTATCTCTATATAAAACAATATCAATAGAATTTCACACCTATTATTCGAAGCCAGCCTAATTATAATTCGAAACCAGACTAATTGGCGCAGATCCACTCGCTGACCGGTCGACTTGTGAAAAATATCCACAATCAGCGTGTAATTAAACAATCATGAAAATAACTCTTTGTGTGTTCTGTAATCAACCTTAATTACCGAAAATGAAAAGCTATGCACCGTGTCCGATTTTGTTACTGTAATTGCTTGAAGATGACAGCAATAATTTTTATACATTCCGTATATGTGAATTTGTCAAAACATCCAAAACATTTTTTTCATTAATTGAAACGCTACATGAGAGCCTTTATCCTAATCAAAAATACCAGAGTTTAGCTGAAAATACCGTAGTGACAACACGTTCATTATCAAGGCTTTGCGCGAAACGAAACGATACATAATGTAGAATTATGTCTTCAATGTCAATACAATAATTTTTACGCATCTTTTCTTTAATATTTATATTTCTCAATTGATTACAGGAAGTAAGTGTGTTGTAAACGGTAGTTTTGCGATGATTGGTCAAAGTAGAGTAGTTTTCGTCTATCACAATATTCCGATTTCGATTATTCGAACCCATCGATTATTCAAAGTAAATATTCAGTCCCAGGCACTTCGAATAAACGGGGTGGGACTGTACATAGTTCAAGATCATTTGTAATTGTTTTCTAACACATTTTAAAGGAAATAACCACCCGATGATATAAAATTAAAAAAAAGAAATATCACTTAATTCGAGTCTTTGTAGTTCATTATGTGTAATTCCCGAGACGCACTGTAAAACTTTAGCTGGGTCTTAGGAAAGGCCATATCAAGCTTTCAATATCTGGAGCATTATTCATATTTCGATTTAAAATCACATCAGACTGTCCGGAGCAAAAACAGTTATATGGGCTTCGTACTTCACTTCAGTGTTGTTATATTTTTCTGGGATCATTGATGCCAGCACTATTAAGTGTTGAGAATTGAGTACCGATCAAGCCGGTGCCATGGGGCGTGAGGGATGTTGCACTTATTCATTATCCCTCATGTACAGACTCAATCAAACCGAGTATGCGATTATTATTTATTTTGTTGTGACTAATGCTTCCGAGGGATCACTTTGTTTCCAGATTTTAATACTTCACAACAGCAGGTGTCAAGTGCCGTGTGGCAACTGTAAAAAGTTGCACCGTACTTCACTTCAGTGTTGTTATATTTTTCTGGTCCTTCGGGATCATTGATGCCAGCACTATTAAGTGTTGAGAATTGAGTACCGCTCAAGCCGGTGCTAGGGGACGTGAGGGATGTTGCACTTATTCATTATCCCTCATGTACGGACTCAATCAAACCGAATTTGCAATTCTTATGTTATTTTGTTGTGATTAATGCTTCCGAGGGATCACTTTGTTTCCAGATTTTTATATAATAATTACTGTTATTCTATTTCATAACGTCTGACATTTTAGTGTTCAGCCATGGAAAAAGAAACTGCTAAATCTCATTTGCCTTAGATTGTTTGTTTAATTGGGTTTGGCTTCACACGGACACAGTACAGATCATATGACGACGGATAGTAGGACAAAAGCCCCCCGGACGAAAGCCCAGTCTAAAAATGACAAGGTGGACAAAAGCCCCCCCCCCACATGAAATTAACACATAGGACAAAAGCCCCCCATCAAAAATGCCGGTAGGACAAAAGCCTCCTCCCCACAATCTTTTTTCACACGGACAGGTGCTCAAATTCACCAAATTTCACACAAACTTTTATATAAAAATGTTTTAATGTTTATTTATAATGTATATATTGAGGTGATAACAAAGTATATGATAACAGATGAAATAATGCATGCATGCGATACTGAATTTATAGTTTTTCATATACACAACAAGGGTCAGAACTCAAAAGAGTAGTAATGTTTAATCACTTTTTTAAAGGGATGAAAATTAATATCCTTAGCACTATGCCACTTACATGTGATGTCCATACATATCTTTTAAACACATAACACAACTTTAATAAACTATATGTTAAATTTGATTGACCATGGGGGGAGGGGGGGGGCTTTTGTCCTACCTATACTTTTTTATGGGGGGAGGGGCTTTTGTCCTATGTGTAAATTTCATGGGGGGGGGGGCTTTTGTCCACCTTGTCATTTTAAGACGGGGTTGGGGGGCTTTCGTCCGGGGGGGGGCTTTTGTCCGTATCCCATGGCCACGTGCAGCTTCACTGGTAAAAGGCCTCGTGTGTTATACCGTGCATTATTTCAGGCACAAACGGGTAGAACCTCCGACGTTCCGTAAGCTAGATGCATAGCTTTCTGACGATAAAGAAAATCTAAAGTTCCTGTCGGGATTCGAACCTTTACGGTGAGGGGCAAGTGGTTTGAAGTCTACGACCATAACCACTCGGCCTAAGTTAGGCAGTCTAAGATAAGAAACGTTTAATTTATCCCTCTGCTTAAAATGTATCAGGCATATCGGATTTCGCTATCATATTCATGTGCATTTGAACTTGAACCATACACTATTCTACAAAGGAACTGGAAATAGAAATCTTTATAGCTAGTATTGTTTCATTATGATTATTATGATTATATATGGTTCTAATGATATTTACGAAAATGGATGTAAATAATATTTGAAACGATCACATTATGAAAATAAACAGAATTCCTTTTTAATGTAAGTAAACTTCATTTCAAATTTACAAATATAACATGAGTTTTTTTTAAAGAAAATAAACTACTTGCCAATGATCATTTGTAAAGGGTTTATCTCAGTTAACAAAGAGTTCATCTCGTCTCTAAGTTTACTGCGTTCACATCTAGCAGAATCTGCGTTGTTTCTTGCCCTTTGAGCTTTTTCTCTATATTTTACTGCTTCAGCAACATTAATGCCCAGAGCAATAGTATTCCCAGTAACACTACTGCCAGCAACAATACCTCCTACCACAAGACTTGCTCCTCCTGGAAATATGAACTTTTAAGAGAATCCAATACATTTCAACTTCCTTAAATTAAGCTTTTATTTACTGGCTTATACTCGTGGTATAAGCCAGTATTCCTAATATTGTTCCATAAAATAATTCCAACAGAAACATTCTGATATGGAAAATGTAGTTTCAAATGATCGTTATAAAAGTTTTCCAGATAATACATGTGAAATTTTGTGTAAAATATTTTAACAAGCAGTTTTGCATCAATCATAATAATTCTCCGCTTTCGACTAAAACGTCACAACAAGCGTGTACTAAACAAATGTAAACTAAAGGAAATGTGTTCAAATTGGACGTAATTCATAAAAAACAAATAAGTGTTTATAAGCAAATATTCATTTTTACCGTCCAATAAAAATCTACGCTTTTACTTATTGGATAAATCGACTTTTATAGAGTTCTTAAAGTTTTCGCAAACTTTCTTTGGTCAATGTTAACTTCTAATCAAGGCTATTTTGAGACTTGTGTACTACAATGGTTATAAAACAAGAAGGCCCTCACTAAACAGTTAAGATGTATATTATTCTAGATATACTTGGAAAAGTTTATTTCTATTTCTAATATGCCTCGTGATTTTATTACGTCACAAAAAGAAGAGAAAATGTTCAACTCCCAATACACTGGTGAGTGTCGCGAAAATCGCGAGCATGTAATTGAAATTAATGTAAAAAGGTTAAAAATGTTAAAGGTTAGTATAAAATTTTGTTATTTAATTGTTAAATTATTATAAAGTGTTGACGTTGTTAAAGTGTATATTAATTGATAATTTATGTATATGTGACATAGTATGGTGACCAATGCTGAATAAAAGTGAACGGTGGTCAACTTGACGGTTCTCAATAGCAGACGGCACATACAAAATTGTGCTTAACACGAGCATTGGTCACTTTTAAACACGTGGCATTTTCCCGCTCCTCATAAAACAGTCCATAAGGAAGGTACATTCATTGAAAGATTAGAGTAGTTTTGGCTTATAAAAAATTTGGATAAACAAAACCTTCAATTATTAATATTTGGATAAACAAAACCTTCAAATATAGTAATTTCGGACTCACATCAGTATCTTTTGATTTAAAGTTATCATTATGTGACATTTTTCTTTCTATAATTGTTTATTTAATTTTGTAAATATCTATTCTAGAGCCATATTATAATGGCCAAGTTGGGATAAGATCGCCTTATTTTAATCGCATTTTCTTTACCGCGTGGTTCAAATCCCGTCTTAACGTTGGCTTCTTTTTGTGTTTTTAAAGAAAAATCGGCTAAATTCGATTCTACAATACTTTAAAATAAAATATTCAACCCTTTTTAAAATACTAACATAATACATATGGACATCTTAACTTGAAATAACTTGAAATAAGTTGTCTTATTTTTAAGGGTTATAATGTGCAATGGAACCAAGCAATAATCTTTCTACTATTAACAGTTACTGTTAATGCTGTGAAAGCATTCTAACAAAGGTCATTATTTATTCTGCAAAATGTCTCAATCTGAACATAGGACTTAGAGTAAGGAAAATAGCAAACTATCACTTTTCTTCAGAAAAACAAACGTAAGAAAACTCTTTAAGAATATGTAAAATAGAATCGTTATGATTATTTAAGTGATATGTTTAAAAGTAAATGACATAAATAAACCAAGCAAGAGAGCCATGATGACCCTGAGTGGCTCACAAGAAACTGTTTTTCAGTGTTGGAAATTATTTTTCAAATAAACTTGCTGAAAGGCAAGTCCGGCTATTTCGGCAAGTTCAGCTCAACTTTAACTTTCCCCTTTTATTAGTAAATAAACTTTCACAACACTGATTGTTTTGGGGTTTTGTTTCTTGATAATAAACAATTGGGCCATTTAGTTCACTCATCTAACCCATCATTTCATTATTTACTATATAAATTGAAATATTTTGCCCTAGTATTTTGGAAAGGCTTTGTTAATATATATATGTTGCAAGTGTGTACCTATGTAACTATGTAGAATAAATGCAGAATGAATGACCACTAGAACAGTGTTAATTTTCATGAGACATTTTTATAACTTTTGATGGGACATTTTTTCAATAACTTTTGTGAATGAACACACAACACGTCACATGCAAAATATGTAAGGTGTAGATGTTTAAAGTTTTCAGTTTGGGGCAACATTTTTTTTAACATTCTATATGGTAACTTGACTGTACCTTAAAAAAGGACAATAGGCCAAACAATGTAATAAATAGCGCAAGTAGGCCAGCTGATATTAAAATTCAATTCAGCATCAGAAATTACACCCTAGTACAATTTTCAAGTTTGTATGTCACAAAAAGAATGTAGGTCAAACTATGTCAAAAATATCAAAAGTAGGTCAGCTAATATCAAAATTCAATTCAGCATCAGAAATTACACCCCGTATCAAAATTTTAAGCCTTTACGTCACATAACAAGAAAGTAGGTCACGTGGTATCAAAAATAAAAGTTAATCAGATATTATCAAAATTTGATTAGTAGGTAAGCAGATATAAAAAAAAACACCCTTCGTGCAAATTTCAAGTCTGTATGACAAAAAGCAAGAAAGTAAGTCAAATGATATCAAAAATATCATAAGTAGGTCAGCTGCTATCAAAATTCAATTTGGCATCAGAAATTACACCCATGGTCCAAATGTAAAGTCTGTATGTTAAAAAACAAGAAAGAAGGTCAAATGGTGTCAATAATATAAAAAGTAGGTCAGTTGATATCAAAATTCAATTTAATATAAAAAAAAATACACTTTTGGTTAATATTTCAAGTCTGTTTGTCAAAAACAAGGTAGTAGGTAAAATGATATCAAAACTATCAAATGTAGATCAGATTTTATCAAAATTTGATTTTACAACAGATATTACACTCTTGTTCCAAATTACATGTCTCTATGTCAGAAACCAAGCAAGTTGTTCAATATCAAAAGTAGGTCAGCTGATATCAAAATTCAATATGGCATCTGAAATTACAGCCATGGTTCAAATCTAAAATCCGAATGTAATAAAAAACACAAGAAAATAGATTAAATGGTGTCATTAATATGAAAAGTAGGTAAGCTGATATTATAATTTAATTCAACACCAAAAATTACACAAATTACACCCCCTGATCAAAATTTAAAGTCTGTACTTGAAAGACAAAAGAAGTATGTCAAGCTATATGAAAACTATCACAAGTAGGCCAGTTCATATCAAAATTCAATTCAGGATCAGAAATTAAATCACTTGTCCAAATTTCAAGTAGGTACATCAAAAAAAGAGAAACTAGGTAAAACAATATCAAATGATAATATCAAAAGTAGTCAGTTGAAATCTTAATTCAATTCGCATTAGAAATAACATTTTGTCTGTACATCAAAACCTGAAATGGTTTCAAAAGTATCATTAACAGATCAACTGATACCAAAATTAAATTATGCACATGAAACTTCAGGTTCAACAGTATGTCACAAAATTCATTTAAATGAGCTCTCTCCATGTTTGAATTCAATTCAACAAAAAATAAAAAAATACACAAAATTCGATAAAAAATGAGCATACAAACTAATCTTTTTACTAAGGTACAGCAAACAATTGTAATCTTTCTATAGGCCTTATTTTATTTGCTGGGGGAAATGCTCTACTTTGACCTACAACTGTCCCTACAATGATGTTATATGGTGTCCAAATTATGAACGATAGCTGAAAGATATTTACACATTTATTCATTGTAACCTAGCTTTACAAGATTACACTTGTGAACACTAAATAGTACCAGAAATAGATTATTGTCCATACAAATTAACTTTTCCACTGTGCAGTAGTGTCTAGTGAAGTTTTATTTGACCATGTCAAATGAAAGATAACTTGCATATATGTTTACTAAGCATTCAGGTCACTACATTAAGACTTTCTCATCTTTTTGTGGAAAAATTGCATAACATGTACACATGTATAAAAGACATTCCAGCATGAGTTGTTTTCCTTTCATTATGAAAGATATACTATGCTCATATTTTTATCAAAGAAATTTATTGAAATCTACGACATTTTTACTGAATATGTCTAATTTGGATAAAAGAATAAATAAACTATGTATGGGAAGCTGCATTCCCTATTATAGGCCAAGTAAAGTTGGTTTTCTTCCATAAACTGCAGACACTTATAATGGCACTATATAGGCCTATTCATACTGTGACCACCTATAGTGTGAAGAGTTAAAAACATAACATATCTACTTTGTGAAGTCAAAACACGTTTATTTTATATTTATAAAGATACTGTGTATCCATTGTCAATATTTTCTGATAAAACTTTAAGCATAGAATATCTTTAAACTATTTATTGAAGAAAATTAATGCTATAGCCTGGGGCATTTAAGCTTTAGCGGCCCCTAAAAGTTTGGTGATCATCTATCCATTAACTATGTAGAATCAGACCTTTAAAGGTATTTCTAATTTTAGCTTTAGCGGCCCCTTAAACATGTTAAAGGGGCCAATCAAATTAATATAAGCAAACTTGATAGAAAAACTACCCAAGAATGCTACAGGGAATCCATCAATTAGTTGTGTAGAAGGAAACATTTAAATGTATTTCTATTTATAGCTTTAGCGGCCCCTACAAGGGACCAATCAAATTGATATAAGCAAAACTGATAAAAGGCAAAGACAAATGCTACAGACAAAGATTGATGATCATCCATCTATTTGTTCTGTAAAAGCAAACGTTTAAAAGTTGTTTTTTTATATATTTTTAGCTCTAAAGACCCCTAAAAGTATGGAGGGCGTTCGTTGCCAAAATTCCAGACATGTAAAGTGTTCTTTTTGACAACTACTTTTGAAAATGCAAACGTGTATGTCTAGCATTTTTGATTGTATTCGTGCACAGCAAATAATATTCCTTTAATCCAATCTTTTAATTAAAGGCACCAGCTTTAAAATAACAAGTTTACATGCAGATCTTAACAACTGACTTAACATGGAAAACAACAACAA